CTGCCACCCTGTCTGTGAGTCTATGAAGACCATATCTTACTCAGTGGCACAAGCCTTAGGTTTGGTGATGCGGGTGCAGTGTGTTGCCTCTGCACGCTGGACCAAACCCTCCAGCCCTGAACCTACAAAGCTGTTCGACGTTCATGGCCAACCATTTGCTCGGAACTCAGAAAGAGTTTTTGTGTGTGGGGTTTTATTCTCTTCCTCCGGGTCAAGGGAGTAATTTCAGGGATTCACGGGGAATTGTAATTGACATTAAGTTAAAGGACAATAAGGTTATGAACCCGAACTCAACAGACAGAGCCAAAATCCTTGAACCTCTTCTGTGTGTGTGTTCGGTGTCATAACAATAAGGAACATGATGGAACGATGGAACAGGTGACTTTTTGATGGACCAAAAAAAGGACAAGTTCAGAAGACTGGTCAGGCCCCAGTCGGCGTAAAGGATGAGTCGACAGGTTATTGAACGAGCTGAAAGAAACCATACATAACATGTCACGTTGCTTTCATTGTTTGTGTCAACAAGCATTGCACAACCAAATGCCTACTTACAAGCGCCTACGCCCCCAAGCAGGACTAGATAATGATTATTAAAAACACTGTTCAAGGGGGCAGGCTTTGAAGGCACTTGGGCCTTGAAGCACACAACACGGCCAAGTCATAACATTATGCATGGATGTTGCGGTGAAATTTGCTGTTAACATTTGCCAATTACAATCTATAATTCGTGATACCCGTATATGAATATTATATATATATATATTGATACATACCCAAACAGTCCATGTATGCAATATATGCCTACATTGACCCCCCCCAAACTACCCCAATGTAGGCATATATGGCAGCCCCATGGAGTGTCTGGGATAGTTTGTTGGCTTGGCTGGCACAGTCCGGTGGCAAGGCTGGGGGCGCAGCGGCGCAGCGTGGTGTGCCACGCTGTGCTCATGAGACTGGACACGCGGCCCCAAAGCAACACACCGCTGTACCCATCGAACGGCCCCCCAAAAAAACAGCTAAACGCCGAAAGCCACCAAACGCCAAACACAAAAACAATTGCCAATGACCCCCCCAAAAAAAGTAATAAATAAATAAATAAACCTGCCCAGTCGGCCAATGCCAACAACCTACGTCCGTCAATGCCAGACACCGCAACCTCTAAGGCAAGAGACTTCCGAAACGTCGTCAGCAGCATTTCCAAGATCACCGTCTTCACACAGTGTCAGCAAGCTCCAGTTGCTGCCTTGCCGGTGCTCCGACAAGGTATGCGTCAGCCTCAGTCGGGCACCATTCGGTGGCGTTTGACGCATCTGTCAGGCGGGACGCATCCAACGGTACGCATCAAAGAATGGAGGCCCCTTGCACAGGATCACATGGGCATACGGGAGACCTCCCATGCTTCGACGGTGGAAGGGTGATGAGGTCTCTGAAGTCTCTCGATTAAGACATCACTTAGGAACTCTGAAATGATTCACTGGGGTTGTAGAGGTTTCTGGATTGACTCTTCGGAAAAATTGTCGAAACCACGGGGTCCATGCGATCGCTTGCAGGGGGGTACTAAACCATCGCTTGCAGGCCAGTCTGATTCGAACAACTCTTCTCACCCATCGCATCCGACTGAGCTTCCCCACAAGCGTGGTCTGGAATGCTCAATGTGCGTGTCTGCCGACGCTTTCCTCGCCGAACCGTGCAGGTGAGCGGAACGGTCGTCTGCAACGTGGTTCTCTGCCTCCCCAAGTCTGGTGGTGGACGAAAGCGAACGTCAAACACCGCCAAGTGCTTGGAAGTGACGTGTTGGTGGAGCCGCAGTCCGTTTTTTTCTCGGCCAAGTGTCCAATGCATGTCTGGTGCAGTGAGGAGCTCTACCCATTGCACATCCACGGTCACAAACGCATGCCGGATCTATGCCTGGCTTGATGATCATATGCCATGTTCTACCTGCCACGGGGATGTTTTATATTAAATACTGCAGTAGCTTTCACAATATATTGTATAATTATCAATCGCAGTAGGTCTGAAGGGTTTGACTCTGAGAAGCTTTGCTGACATGGACAACTTAGCTTGATGAAGCCAAGCATGTCGCCAGCGGACATGTTTAAGCTGCAGAGATCCGTCAAGAATCGCAAAGAAAGAGCGCCTTCATTCATCAGACTCAAGAGATCAAGAGCTCATTTAGAGCCCCAACTGGGTGACACCACGATTCACTGGGGTCCCTCCAAAGACCGCGCATCAAGAGAGGGCATGCAAACCACTCTCGTGCACTAGCAAAGATCATGTCGGACAAAGCCGTAAACTACACAATAGAGATTCTTTTAGACCCATGTCCAGTCATTCCTTATTCCGTAAATTCCTTGCAAGCCCCACCAGATCCCACCAGATCCCGTGCAAAGCCCTCTGTCTCGATGCTATTCGCACCACGCACCGCTGCGAACAAGAGCAAAGCACCACCACCAGCCACACCCAGCTGCCCAAAGTCACAAAGCTGCATTCTGTGCCGTTCTTTGGTTGAAAATGCTGCATGATCAATGCAAACATGTCACCAGAACATGTCCCTGCCTTGGAGCTCTTGGACATGTTGTAGAATGTAGGTCAAAGTATATATATAGTGTGTGTGTATGTTTATGCATGTTTAACAAACCAAGTTTGGGTCCATCTGTTGCGTGTCAGACTCGGTGCACCAACTGTCGTTTCCTTAGCCTTATAGTATCTCTCTCTCTCTCTATGTAAGTTCTCCATGCCAGGGCAAAATAGTAAGGCCTCCCAGCTCCCCAAGACAAGTGCAGCTCTGTGGAAATCACTGGGGCTCCCCACATGCCTCACACTGTCTGAGACTTCACGCTCCGATCGGAGCTGCTCCTTTCTCCAACCGGAGGCTTCTTCCGGAAAGCGTTTCTCGGAAGAGTGCTGCCTATCTTGGCCATGGCCTAAGAATCCTAGGAACAATGGCTGATGAGGCTCAGCCCGCTATAGCCGTCATGCTTGTTACAGGATAAAAACCCAGAAAACACAAACTCACCACACGGCTAGAACCCCCCCCCGGTGTGCATCGAAAGAGAACTCTCGGTCGTCTCGAGTCCGGTAGCCATGCGCCTCGGTGTGAGCTCGGATCTCCGCCATGCGCCGCTCGGCGGCTTGCTGCTCGCGGGCGACCTGGCGGGCGAGTCCGTTCCCGGTCGAGGAGGGTCTGACCAAGAGGAGGGTCCGTCGACCAAGAGCTGCAGACTCTAAAATTGCAGCCTCCTGCATCCGTCTCTTGAGTTGGATGTTAAGGGTCTTGTCTCAGACTCATGAAAATGCAGCATCATCAGCATCCTGATGCATTCCGACTGTGCTGGACTGTGTTGCTGCGTCCTGTCTAAAGAGTCCATACGTCTGATGCTACGAACGGAAGGTGCTGACATCGGGATTTCAAATGATTTGCAAGTTCATCTGATGTGTTGGAGCATTGATGACCAGGAGGGCTCACAACTGGAGAGGACGCCTACCTTTGTCGACATGACTAGCTAGATGATGAGAACTGTTGAAAAGAATCATTTAAGTAACTAACTGCATGGCCAACACGATCTTCTTTGGGGTCCAAAGCCATCCCTGCCATCCCTCCAGGCTCGCCCTGCAATGCTGTGCCTTCTCGTGGGCTTTCTTGTGCTCCTCTTGGGTCATGCGTGCCATCGCTTCTTGCTCCTGGACTGACAAAACACACGAAAACACCACAAGAATCCACAAAGCTATAGTGAAACGAGTCGACAAGTTGAAACCATGATCCACAAAGTGGAAAACACTGCGTCTATATGTCTGGACTTCTGCTTCCAAAAGTGTTCACCTAGAGCTCAGTCAAACATCCTTTGACCTCTGCTTCTTGGTGATAGGCAAAATTTACTGTACTCAGCCTCCGGTGGTCCAAAATCTACTCAGCTTCCACCGCATGTAACGAGTTCGGTCGAGCGGGGAAGACCGCCACCTCTCCTGCTTCATGCGCTCATCACATTCGGCCCTGAACTTCCTTAGATCCCCCAGGTGCGGCGAAGCCAAGAAATCCATGGGGTTAAAGTTAGATCTTTAAATTTAACATATATATATATATGTATATATATATATAACCATGCATATAATAACCTCTTGATTGATTATATATAGTAGCATCATGTAGCGCCAATCACCCGCCCATTTGGATCAGAAAAGCTGTCTCAGCCTCTTACTCAGCCTCTTCATATTGGGAAAACTTGATTAATCAGACGTTCTGCCAGATCTGTTCCCTACTTAGTACCCCTTCGGCTGTTTCGATCGACACCGTCTTGTCGGTCGTCTTGGTATCTGTCTGACGGGGACAGGGAGTGTTCGGTAGTATGGTGTGAAACGCCACGATCATGGCATCTTAACCCACGAATTGGTCTCAATTGGTCACGTCTCGTTCTGAAAGGGCTTGTGGGAATCACCAAACATGATTACTGTAGTCATGATCAACCGGGATTGAGGAGTACATGCAAGCGTGGGATGCACGAGCTGGTGCAGGTGGCACCAGCTCGAGTCTTGGAGACTTTGACTGACTCAGCGCCATGCTCCATTCGTGCGATCATCACCTTCTCATCTGCCTTCATCCTCAGCGCACATCAACGAACGAAGTCCTGAGAATTCCTGGAAGAACGAGTTGCTGCAATATCTTGGGTACACTCCGAACACATCACATGGAAGTGGAAGACCCTGGTCTGTAAAGGAAAGAAGTCTTCCAAGGAACCATCTTCCACTTCCAAGGAACCATGAGTCAGTACTTGAGTCAGTATATATCCCACTACCACGCCCAGTGAGTCCTATGATGGCCATCGTGATGGCCATCGTGATCATCTTTTTCCGATCTGGTATGATCTGGGCTACACATGGGCTACACTACACCCTACTTCTATCACACCTCTAATCCCGACGTTAGAACACCAATGATGCACGTGAACCATGGTGAGCTCACCGTGCTGCTCCGCAGCAAGCTGCGCTTGGTAGACATGTGACACTTTTTCTCTCCTTGCGCGCCTCGTTAGACGTCTATAGCTAAAGTGGCAGCTGATGCTTGCGTGCAAAGCCAAAGACTTGTAACTGGAATGCCGGATTGGTGCAAATGCGCCCCCGTCGGGCTTTGCAATGCTGAGCACTTTCAAGCAGCGTCATGCCGGACGTCGCTGCATGGTAGGCCAAACATAGGCTTCCTGAGCGGTTCACTCCAGCTTCGCAATGTACAAAAAGCCGGCCCTTCTTTTCAGCCACTGCGTTCGCCAAATTGGCCAGGAGATCATAGTGCTGCCTGAGCGTCAGGCTGCCGGGCGGCTTCATGATCCATTGAAAGTCGTGTTACTAAATTGCAGTTATGCACGACGAAGAAACTGAAGGAACAAAAACGCATTGAAACCTAGAAAACACGTGCTAAGCGGCATAATGTTGTAGCCTTGCTCATCTTGAGCAACAAACTCTGAATATTCAATTCCGAAAGGAGCATAGAAAGCGGCTCCAGTGCGTACCGTCGATGCGGCGCAGTTTAACCTGACACACATGCTCATCAGAGTAGCAGTAGGATCAATTGAATCAATCATGATCAATCATTCTGAACATGTCAACCTGGAAAGGTAAGGGTGTCAAAACCAGCGTTTCTACATCAAGAACTGGGGCAGCTTCTACGTCATCGATACTACCGAACGGTTCGGGTCCGACTACGGTCATTGCTTCCTGCTGGTTGCCCCGGATCTCTGGGCCGGTCAGGCCGGCCATCGGACACGCAGCTGAACACACACTTCGACAATTGTATTCAGTTATCTCGATTCCCACGTTGAGAAGGATGGCGAAGAACCGCAAGGTGAAAGAGTCAGCTGAAACAGTATGGTTGAACATGGTTTCCAAAGGTGCAAGTCTGCGGTCGGCGGCTGGCTGCAACTCACGATCGGCTGAAAAATGCGGTGGAAAAACCTGTTTATGGGGAAGGTAGCATGGGAACAACCATGAAAACAAAGAACAGCGGCGAGGGGAACCAGTGGAGTCAGTGTGTTCAGCGCAGGTACGTCCAGAAGGCGTCCCTTCCGGATATCACCGCGGTTCACGGAGTGTCTTCGTTGAGTGGTGACTCCAAGACCGCGCACCACTCCCCTGCGTGGGAAACTGTGGTTGGAAAGTGGTAGTTGAAGTGGCTGGAAGAAACCCTTTGCCCAGGGGTGGACACACACAGATCGCCGTCTTCGGCGCTTTTTTGTTCAAAAAACGGTGGCAGGCTTGGTGGTTGTGTCCTTTTTGGACATAGAGCCTCACTAGCTCGGCGGCAGCAGCGTCAGCGCTGGAGGGTGGAAATGTGTATTTTCGAATGGTATGAAGTCTGGATTGGAGGCCAGACAGAGCCAAGCGCTGGCTCCCGGCGGTGGTGGAATCCCTGATTTTCCAGGGTTGGGAAGGTTGCATGTAGGTGATGGTGCGTTGTTGGAGGTCAATGTTGAAACCCAGGAGATGGAAGTCGTCCACAGGTTCGAGCTCCACTGGGTCGCCAAAGAAGTTGTGGTGGATGAGGGTTTGGATGGCGGGATGGTGAAGGAAATGTTCGTTGTGTACAATGAAGCGGTTGTCCACATATCGATAGTAAGTGAAATGCAGGTCAGTGTGTTGCAGCAAGTTGTTGTGGATCTAGGTGCCAGGAGTGTTCGATGAGTGTGATGGCTACATTGCATAGGGCTGGAGAGAGTTGGGAGCCAATCCCAGCTCCTCGGATTTGTTTGTAGGTGTTGTTGCAAGCCCGGAAAATGCAGGTGTTGAGTGCAAAGGCCACGATGGTGGTGATGTCAGATGTCTGTATGGTGCGTTGTGTGGGGTGCTTGCGGTGGTGTCTGCCGATGTGGGAATGGTGGAAGGGGTTGCCGGTGGCTTGGACATCCACGGTGAGGGTGTGCGTGGATTGCTGTTGCAAGTGGTGAATCATAGAGTGAACTGCATCGATGAGTCTGTGTTGGGGGACCGAGTTGAAGAAGCCGACCAGGTCATCCAAGGAGATGTCTGCTGGCGTTTGGGTGAGGTAGCTGTGGAAGTGGTGCCAAAGTTGTGGAATGGACAGTTGTCCGGGATGTTGGGGGTAGAGGTGTTGAAGGATAATGTCGAGGGCACGGCTGGTGATGCGGAGTAGGTTGCCGCTGAGTGAATGGAAGTAGGAGATGATAGTCCGGCCTTTTTGCCACTGCTTCTTCTCCTTGAGGTGGACCACGCCGTAGGGGATGTTGAAATCCTTGCGGAAACCCCACTTGTAGCGGGTGCGTAAAAGGGGTGGGACAGTGGCTGTGAGATGGTCGTGGATGTTGGCGGCTGTGAGGTAGGGAAGTGGTTCAAAAAGTTCAGGGGATTGCCATGTGTTCAAGGCGCCAGTGAAATATTGGCGGGGGCAGAACAGCCGGAGCTGTTGGAGTTCATGGTCGGCATGGTGAAGTACTGTGTTTTGGCCGAGGTATTCTTGAAGTTGGCGAAGTAGGCGAGCCGTAAAGCGGGGTTGTTGTTTGAGGTGTGTGTTGTGGAGGCGCCATTGGTGCTCAAGGAAAGGCTGCAAGTGTTGCACGAGGGATGGTGGTAGCCGCTGCAGCCTGAGCCATTTCGTGTAGGCTGTCTGGAAAGTGAGGAAGTAACGAGCCTTGCTTGGATAGTAGGTGCTGTTCATGTTGGCGTTGAGAAAGATGCTGTGGGGAGGTGAAGTTGATCAAGTGTGAGAATGTAATGGCCGTTGGTAGTGGGTGTGTCGGGATCCTGCAATAGAGTTCGAAGATGATTGCATGCGCAGGGGAGGTCTTCGAAGATGATTGCATGCGCAGGGGAGGTCTGCTGGATCCGGTGGGGAATGGAGGGTGTCCTCCCAGGTGCGGTGATTGTGCAGTTGAGATCGGAGAGTTTTGTGCGCCGCTTCACGTAGGCGATGCGAGGGGAGGTGGAGGGGGATAGTCAGGTGTTTGTGCTGTTGAATGGTGGTACGGAGCCACTGTTGGCAATGCTTGGTGAAATCTTCGTGGGCCAGGAATGGCACTGTCAATGGGATGTTCGGTTTGGGTGGTGTGAGGTTGCGGTAGAGGAGGGCCTTGTTGATGATGTGGAGAGCTCTACTGCGGCCGGGCTCCTCGAGGTTGGCGGCCATGCGCCGGATGGCGTAGACTTCAAGGTCGGTGTGGCGGCCGCTACGCAGTTGTTTTGCTGCTTCGAAGGAGGCAGCTGTGTGTTTGGTAAGGTTGCGGAGGAGTGTAAGAGCGTGATGCTTGGGGGAGGTGTAGAGAGGTGTGGTTCTCTGAGGGTGTGTTGGCGTTGCCGTAGGCGTCTAAAGAGGCGTTTGTGAGTGGCCAGTCTGGAATAAAAATGCGCTCTGTGCTTTGTGAATTGCCATCCTTGAGCTTTGAGTTTGACGTGGTGTGAAATGAATGGCCAGTTGAGTGTAGGCATCCAATTGGCGATATGGTGGTGTTCCTGGATCCAGGCTTGGTCGTAAGTGTCATGGGATGTAAGCTGGATGGTGGTGTAGTGGTGGATGTTGTTGTGGGAGTGCCAGTAGCGTAGGGAAAGTTCTGCGGAAATTGGGATGTTGTTCTGGAGTTGTTTGAGCTTGGCACGGCGGTTGTGTTCGCGGTGGGGAATGCCAATAGCTGTGGAGCCGACGTAGAAGTGGCCATGCTGGTGGTAGCAGCGATGGGGTGGGTCTGGGTTGAAGTGGAGTTTGATGTAAACGGAATTGGAGGAGAGGAAGTTGTGGTAGTGGTAAGTGTGGGGTAGGATGTGGAGCTGGCGGAAACGATTGCGCCATTGTTGTGAGCGACGGGTGTTGGAGGGATATGCAAAGAGCAGTGTGATGTGGATAAGGCCTGTGGCGAAGATGGCTTCGGCTCGGTCGATGTATTGGGTGTGGTGGATCAGAATGGAAAGTGCATGGTGCAAGTGGAAAAGGTGTTGCATGGTGGTGTGGCTGGGTTGCTGCTGGCTGAGGACAGCGAGTCAGCAGCCGATGGCTGCCCCCACACTCACCAGGTGTTGCAAGCTACGGATGGGGAGGCGATTGACCCGGTTAAGCGGGAGGCCGTAGCGTGTGGCGGCCTCTTTCAACTGCTGGGCAGTGACTTTGCTTGTTTGCAGCAGGCGCAAAACTTCGTTAGCTGCTTCTTGGACGGTGGGGTCGAAGGTGGTGACCCAGTGTTGGATATCGGAGTTGTTCCAGCTGTCTGGGATGTCATCCTTCAGGGTTGGGGAGGTTGCAGGACGTCAGAAAGGACAGGTGGTTTGGGTGCTGGTGGAGTGGGTGGACGGGATGGGGCGGCCGGTCCGGAGGCGTGGCTGGTGCTCTTAACGGGAGTGAGGGGTTCGCCCAAGTTGTGGAGCTTCTGTTTTGCGCGGGCCAGCTCATCGGTGGTGTTTTTAAGGGCTCGTAGAGCTGTGCCCTCTGCTGGTGCCGGGGAGTGGGATTGGAGCTGTTGGATGAGGAGGTTGATGAGGGGGGCGTGGAAAGCCCGTGCCTGTGTGGTCTTGCTGGGGATGTCGGTTCCTTGTTGGGTGTGCAGGGTCTCGGCGATGCCGTCTAAGTCCAGGCGTTTGTCGCGGAGCTCTTGGAGAAGGTGGGTAACGAAAACAGACTCCGCAATACTTCTAGTGGCAATAAAGCCTGTGTATTTTCCGTTGCTGAGAGTGCGGGCTGTGTATTCGGCCGTACCATGGTACGCCAGTTGCCAGGGGAAGATGTCGAAGGTTGGGAGCCCTGCCACCCCTGCTTTACGAGACCATTGTGTTGGTTGTATTGTGCGGTAGAGCTGGTGGCCGTGTAGTGTGTTGGCATCCCAATGGTGATCGGTTTGGTTCCAAGATTCTTGGGGTGGTGGCTTGGGGGAGGGGACGTGGGGTGGTGGTGGGGCAGGCGCAGTGCCGGCGCGGGCAGCCGGTGCCGGTGGTGGACTGTGTTTGTAAGTCGATGGCGGTGGAGTGTGACTGGATCGGCTGTGGGCAGTGGTGGGGGCGGTGGGGGTGGGAACTCCGGCTGTGACGGTGGAGTGTGTTGTGGCGGCGTGTGCTGCGGTGGCGGTGTGTATGGGTGAGAGTGGTGGGTCTGATGCGCGCGGAGTGCGTGAGTGAGTGGGCCGTAGGTACCAGTGGGGTTGTAGGTGTGATGGCTTGCAGGAGGATGGGTAACGGTGGCTTCTGTGTTGGCGAGCTGCTGATGTTGCTGCTGCTCAAGCAAACAGTGGTTCCAGTAATATTGCTGCCATTGTGCGTCCATGATGGATGGTCGGCTGGAACGCTGATGAAGACGATCACGGGTTGTTGTTTGAGCAGGCTGAAAGGTGCAGAGGGAGGAGAGGATCAAATAAGGTATGCAGGGTGGCTGTCAGTGTAACATCAAAGCAGTTGAAAACAGTTGAAAAGTGTCATGCGGTCATGTTGCAATCACTCAAAACCACAAGCACATCAAGGTCCACGTACAGTAGAACCGCAATAGATCAAGTGCACAGCAAAAAACAGCAATCCAATAGTCAGGAAAATTAGGTCGGTGCTTTGAT